TTTTGAAATTTGAAATTGGCGGCATTCGGTGGAGAAAATGGACGTTGACCGGATCGAAATGTAATTGGAACTTTTTGTGCAGGGTGTTTCGAGGTGTTTTTCATTCTCTGAGTGATGTTACTGTAATAACGGATTTAGGAAACAATTGAACAACATTGTTTAAGTGACGAATTAATTCGTCATTCTCCAAAATTGCTTTCCTTACCACTCCTTATAATCTTACACAATTCAGTTCTTCCAAATTGAAGAAATATACTTCAACTTCAATAACGAATTAACTCGTCATGCATAATTGACAGAAACCATTTCCCATAGAAACAACGTACATTACTGTATCCAATGTCTTAATTGCATTAAATTAAGAATCTCCAAACTGAAAGTACAATTCGTCATCCCCAATTGACAAACATTATTCCCCTCAACATCCAATTACTTATTCCAACTCCACCTAAACCAAGAATCATAATTCATCGACGACGAGTTAATACATCACCTTCATTTAACATACATAATTCCTTTCAGAATCCAAATACACCTCCCAATTCCACTCAGACATCGATTAGACCAAGAAGAAACCATAGTTCCCGAAAACAATAAATGCATAATTCATCGATGACGATTTAATACGTCACCTTCATTTAACACACATAATTCCATTCAGAATCTAAATATACCTCCGAATTCCACCCAGACATCGATTAAACCAAGAAAACCATACTCCACGTATGACGTATTGATACGTCACGTTCAACGTATGAACGCCCACAAAACTTTTTTGTAAATCGCGTGAAGGGGTTTGAAGCCGTATACGACGCCAAGATTTGCCGACACGTGGACCGTAGAGCGTCGCTAAATAAGAACGTAGAAGCGCGCACGCACGTGCACGTGTCCCGGAAGGCTTCGATATAGATTTTTTCCTCGCGGCACGCGCGCTCGATTCAGAGCCAGCCGTAACACACGTAAACACAGACACGCCCCACACGCAGGCGTACCGACTCGCTATATACTCGATTCGATGGGGGGATTATGGGAGGAACGGTGAATGCACCCGTCCGACGATGGGATTGAGACGCCTGTTTATATCGCAATTAGACTGCGGATTTTGTGCAGTTACCGTGCACACAATGCTGAGCACGTAATTAAGGAAAATGTTCGCGCGAAACTCGGGCTTGATTTATCACGGATATATGTTAAATCGTAATCGTGTTAGTTTAAAACATTGATGGGGCAATATTTTCTTCAACCAGTTGTTTAATCATTTTGAATTCATATTCTTTCCCGCCATTTTAGGATTTCCTGTTTGTAGGTACTTGAGTGATGGGGAATGGAACGGTGTAGGGAGTATGATCGTTTTAAATATACAATTTATTTTAACCGTCTGTAGGCCCATGTAACTTTGGAGTCACATATCAGTGTATGGGTAGCTTGTTGATTTATTGCATTTCGAACTCAAAGTGCCGGATAAAATTAAGTAATCGGTTAACTTAAACTTTTATACGCTCAGGAGTAAAAGTTTAATGTCATTGTAACTTGGAAGTTACAAAATATATTGGTTTGATGAAGTTATTGAAACTATTGAATACATTGCTTATTCGTATTCATATGTGGATATTTATTAATTCTCTACTGCATAGATTTTGTTATAATCTGTAATATTATGTTAAAAAAATTCGTGAACTCCAAAAATACGAGTTTTCCAACGTTTGAAAATTCCAGTGGGATAGTTGATAATTTAATTTTGATTTTTGTAACTTGTATAATGTTTTTAATTTGAGGTACATTTTTTACGTATACTCATTAGTATGCAATGTAATTTTGATATTGGTAATTTGTATAATATTTTTAATTTGAGGTACATTTTTTACATATGTTCATTAGTATGCAATGTAATTTTGATTTCGGTAATTTTTTACAATATTTTTTCATTTGGTCTACATTTCCTATATACATTCATTAGTTTATAATAAATATTGCTTAACACTAGAACTATCATATGGGTCAAAATGACCAGTTCCTAATTTCTTCTTCTAGAATTATTACAAAGGCCCAGACACTTCTTTAAAAAAATGACTAAAGAATTTGATTTAGCAATACCTAAACTGAAACATAAATCAACTTCGTAATAAATTCTAAATTCTCTCTAAATTCTAAATTTCTTCTAAAAAAACTATCTCAACAAATTTTCACTTACAGCTTTCATAAAGAAATGTTCAAAACGGTTCAAGTGCTCAATAGTCCTGGTGTTAACACGTTGACTGCCACGAAATCCTTCAGAGTTTTATGTATCGCTTATTCTTTCGTAGCAAAGATAAAGCGGAACAGTTACTTATTATTCAGTATCGCAACGCGTACGTTACACTGTTGTCTAGTAATTTACGCTATGAAATATTTTCATTCGACATTAGTTATCCGACGAATTATAATTATCGTCAAGAAATTTGGAAGTTCCGGTCATCGGTGATCGACGTGGCAGTCAATGTTAACCCTTTGCACTCAAGAGGTGACTCTCAGTCACCATACAATTCGATATACCAGAATCATAAAGTCTTACATATAATATTAAGCTTCTTATAATCCACGAATATCAGAAATATTGAAATAATGAATTGAATGAGGGAATGGACATACGTTAAGAAGCAAAGTTATTATCTTAAAGGATGTTATCTGTAACTCGTTGGAAACTGTTGAATATTTCTATTGAAAAACTTCCGAGTGCAAAGGGTTAATTTCATTGATTCAAAGAAACTACAAGTTCACAAAATTCCCCTCGAATTTACCGCGCTTCTCTACTTTATTTCATTTACCGCCCCTTCCGAGCGAACAGCATTCGCATGAAATCCAGGGTTTCGTAATTGCCCGGTTCCGTTTAGATAACTGTGCGAAGGGTACGCTACGGCTCCACGCCTAACCTTGATACAGCCTCTCGCTTCATTCACCGGGATCATCAACGCTGCTCTTCCCACGCTCCGCGAGTCTGTTCTTTTTTTTTCTTTTTCGAATTTCACGCGTTCCGCCGCGTCATCCGTTTTCACAGGCAGCTAGAATTAACCGTGTCGCGCTACGTTTTCGCGTAGGTGACCGTGCGTCGCGTCGTCGACGGCGAGGGTACGGTGAACCGTGTCGATATCGGACCACGATTATTTTCGTCGGGGATCGCCGTCGGGTCGGGCGTGTTGCGCGAACCGGCCTCGTTATTTCGGTGGGAAGCTGGCGTGGCCCAATTTCCAGAAAATCTTTAATGGCACGCCGAATTGCTGCGATCTACACGGTGGCAATAACGTGCAATCAGGTGTGTCTGTGTTGAAATGAACTTGGAACGTGTTATTATGCCACCCGGTGGATAATGCTTCTTTTGTATGGTTCCCTCATTTCTCAAAATTTCGATGAATGGAACTTTTCTTTAACTCTTGGGCGCACAATGACGAGCGACACTGATGAGGGTTCCTAAATTAATTTAACGCTTAATGAAAGTTTGTCTAAAAAGCGACAGCGTCGCTCTTGGCGACTTTTAATTTTTGATAGTGATAAGTATAGCGGAAAATATGAAAAATTCCATTGATGATTATATTTATTATATTTAATAGTTATATATAATATTGTATTGTATAATATTATATTATATAATATTATATTATATCGTTATATTATATGTTTTATTGATTATATTTTACTAATAAGATTAATTATATAATATTATATTATATTGTTATATTATATGTTTTATTGATTATATTTTACTAATAAGATTAATTATATAATATTATATAATTATATTTAATACAACAGAAAATGTGAAAAATGCCATTGATGGTTATATTTATCGCTATCAAAAATAAAGTGTCGCTGAGAAGGACAGTGATACTTTTTGGACAAATTTTTAACGTCATTTGTAGCGACGTTGACGCTCTGAGGGTTGATACAAATCAATATTTTGTTATTACCGGTTTATTATCTTCAAAGTTTTGCACTTACAATGGATTGGATAATTTTGTTGCATTTCTTCCAAATTGTAGTAAAATGTTAGACGAGATTGGTAGTGAAAGTAAGTAATACGCCAAGGGGTTAATCTGAAATATATTGTCTTTTGTCAACTGTAGATTGTTCTAACTATTTTAAACTATTTTAAACTATTGTAAACTATTCTAAACTATTTTAAACTATTTTAAACTATTGTAAACTATTTTAAACTATTGCAAACTATTTCAAACTATTTTTTATACAGCTCAAGGACTTTGAAATTGGCCTACGTATAATTAATCCTTTACACTCGAAGATTTCTTAGCTACGTATATGTATTTATTAGTTTATAATGAAATACTGATTAAATTATTGATTCTGTTGAATGTAAATAATATACGAATCAATGGGTAGAACTGTCATACAATATGATATTGAATATTGAATTTAATAATTTTACAATAAAATTGTATACTAACCTCTTGCTGACGAAGATTCTCTAAAGCATACAAAACCACCTGCAGATTCTACAAATTAGACACTGAATGCTCAAATAATAGATAACAAGGGAACTGTGTCGATTTCTTACTGTTTGTAGTTAAATCATTTGTTTGCAATTTACAAAGAAAGGTATCGAACCCAAAAGTTGAAAAAATTACGAAATCGTGCGCAAGTAGAGCAAGTCAAGTCTAACACAATTCAATTTCTATTTCCTACCGAATTTCACTTTGAAGGGGTGAAACCACCGATCAATCAAAACCGACGTAAGCATAACCAAACAATGTTTATAAAATATGCATGAAATTGACGCGTTCCGTGAACCTACAGTTAACCGGTTAGTCGCCGGTGCATTCACCTCAAGCATCACGCAGGAAACATGTCCCATTGTGTCCACGAAGAAAGGGGATCGAGCGACGATCGGAAAATCGATTCTGTCGCGGCCGGATCGATCCCCGCGGTGCAGTCTTATCAGGAATTATCGGATATCTGTGCGCGAGATTAGATTTCTGGTCGGACAGGCGGGCAGAATGGAGTCAGTCAGTCAGTTAGCCAGTCGAGTCGCTCGCTCTCTCGCCGGCTATTCTGAAAATAAACGCGTTCGAGATCTCGCGGGCTCCTCGGCCCGCCAGTGTCGGTCGTATCGTCGCGCGCGACGCTTCGGGTTTCAACGGACCGCTCGGCCAACGAACGGGAAACTTTTCTGTACGCTTTGCACACGAGAGGTGACTCTCAGTCATCGTTTCGTTCGATATATAGTGGGGCCTCGAGCTGCGTTCTCCTGAGTTACGTCGTCTCTACACGCGGTAGTCAATTGTCTTTAATCGAATTTCTTGCTCCACGTTTTGCCAAAAACGACTTTGAGGACTATGAGACGTGTGAGCCGTTTGTTTCGATGTATAGTGGGGCTACGGGTTACGTCCTCTCGATTTATATCGTCTCTACACGCGGTAGTCAATTGTCTCTAATCAATATTTATTTTGCCAAAAACGACTTTGAGGACTATGA